ACCCTTATTACCTTCTTGGCAAGACGAGACTTCCTGTCTCAGGAACTTCTCTGGAGTTTATTTTCCTCCTTTGCTGGTACTTTGCTTGTGTGGAGTGACCATTCAAAGTTACAGTGGCACTGAAAAAAGTGACTTATGACCATTTTTCACACTTATGACTATTGCAGCATCCCCACAGTCACAAGAGGCCAGGCAAGGAGATGCGTGCCTCAATGTGAGCGATGTTGAGTTGGCCACACCCAGCCAGTCACATGACCACCAAGCCATGCCCACCAACTAAGCCACACCCACAGAACTGGTTGTTAAAAAAAATTGAATTCCACCCCTGGGGTGAAGGCAGGAAAGTTAGAAAGAAGGGAGGGAAAAGAACAGAAAAAATGAATTGAGGAAGATTATCATTTCACAGTCAGATTGGGACTCCATTTTATATTAGAGTCTGCATGAGGAATCATTCTTCAAAAGCCACTGTTCAAGAGCATTTTGACAAGATCTGAGTGAGTCTCACAAGTGATAATTACACATTCTATTTCAAGACTTAGCTTCCCCTGAGTTCCAGTGCTCTTAGGAAATTCCTTTTTCTGGAACCAGAACTCCAAGGAGTCTCTTTCTAAAACAGAACATGAGACTTCTGTCTCTGAAGCAAACGTATGCCAGGCATGACCTATGGCATTCCCCAGGGACTGGACTGGTGGCTCTGTAACTTCATGCTTTGCCATTCAATTCAAGGACTTCTTGGAAGGAAGCCTCTGTGAACCCGTGTGTAATAAGAAGTCATACTTCAAGGAGCAAGCTTGGTTCAAAACCCGGTGTCAGCATTCCAAGTAATGCACACATAGAAGGCAAAACTCTGAGACAGGCAAGTTCCTCAAAGAGTGGTTTATTGGATACATCATATTGGCACAATTGGTGAAAGCCAGCTCTGAAATTTCCCGTGGCTTTTACCTAATTAAAAGTAAAAGTTTCCCCTTTTCTCCCCCAAGTCACTGGTCACATTGTCCAATCCAAGTGCTGGCCGGTTGCTTGGTTACTGGATCCTCTTCTGGCCAGCTACCAGTGCAAATGTCCTTGGTTCCCACAGAAAATCTTTATTGTTTTGGCTACAAAACCCCATCTAATTATTTCCCCCCTCCCTGGACAACCCTTGACCCTTCAAGATGGCTTCATCCAGGCTCACTTCAGGGTTGACACCTGGATGAAAGCATACTTATGGCACAGAAAACATAACACAGAAAACTTAACATTCACTTTTTCCAGTTTCCATGATCATCTGATTCTCATAAATGTCATAAAACATTGTGGTCCACAATGTTTGGAGATTTTAAAGAAGAGATTGACAACCATTTGTCTGAAATGGCATAGAGTCTCCTGCTTGAGCAGAAGGTTGGACTAGGAGACCTCTAAGGCCCCTTCCAACTCTGTGATTCTGTTATTCTTTCTGTGGTCAACTAAATGTTGGTTGGAGCTGTGAAAGTCTTGCTTGTTGGCATCAACCCTTTAACTTTTAGGATGCCTTCTTGGATGGTCTTGGTAAAAAGCTACAGAAAAGGAGATTAGCTCCAAAGAATTCAAAAGAGGAAGGGGTTGCATCAGTCAATTAGCTTCTCTTCTTCTCTCCTTCCCCTTATCACAATGTAAACTCTGCTTTGGCCCATAACACTTCTGACGGCTGGCCATTGCTACTTTGCTTTGGATCTTCTTAAAAGTAATTTAAAAAGTTAACAAACATTATTTTCCGTGGCTGCTGCAGACTTTTATTTTTTTTCCTCTCTCTCTCTGCAGCTTCTCTCCATCCCTCCATCCTCAAAATGTCTTGTGCCCCAGGAGTCCCCGCGCTCATTTCAAGGATGTACATAAAAGTGTCTTATTACATATTCTCCTTGGCTGCCCTGTTTATTAAGGGAGCTAATTCCCTCACCTTGTCGGAAGAAAATATCTTTCTTTTCTGTCATACTTCACTCAATCTTTGTCCTTTTTGTTTAGGATGAAGAGGCACCACAGGCTTAGCGCCGCTTTTGATATTCTCAAAGTCAATGTCCCATACCAGTAAGAACAAGATATAATCTTGGTCTATGCAGAGGAGGCATTAAGTTACCTGAATATAAAAGAGACTTACATCTCTCGTAGGGGACGAGAGAAAGATTGGGTAAGCCAAATTTCCCCCTTATCGCTCACATGCAAAATGTTTGTCCTAACTTCCCAATGCAGAAATAACACAAGGGCTGGTCTCTGGCACATTTCCATGCCCTGTTGAGATCCGCCATGTATCCATCATGCCACAATCACATAGTGGCCCCAGGAAGAAAAGAATTCTTAAGGGTTAGGGTTCTTAAATTCTTAAGAATTTAAAAGAAAAGAAAAGGCTTGAAATTTTGGACCTAAACAACTTAGAACTACGCTGCCTATGGTCTGACCTAAGCTTAGTACACAAAATTGTCTGCTACAGCGTCCTACCTGTCAATGACTACTTCAGCTTCAACCATAATAACACATGGGCAAACAATAGATACAAACTCAAAGTAAACCACTCCAAACTCGATTGAAGAAAATACGATTTCAGCAACAGAGTGGTCAACAACTGGAACTCACTACCTGACTCTGTTGTTATATCCTCAAACCCTCAAACACTTTAACCTTAAACTGTCTACCGCAGACCTCACTTCATTCCTAAGAGGTATGTAAGGGGGCATGCATAAGTGCATCAGCGTGCCTACTGTCCCTGTCCTACTGTCCCCATTTATTTGAACTCATTTATTATGTATATACTTATACCTGTTTATACTTATATATTTATATGTTATGTTCATACTGATACTTGTTTTTCTCATACATGCTTGACAAACTGAACTAAATAAAATAAAATAAAATAAATTCCACTTCTTGAGAATAGGAGTAGTGGAATTATGATTCAAAGTGCTGTTTATCACCTTGAAAGTCCTACGTGGCCTAAGGCCAGGTTGCTTGAAGGACCACCTCTCCTCCATTATATCCACCTGGCCTATCAGGATGGGAAGGTATGACTCCATCAACTAGGGTGATATATCTGGTGGAAGCATGAAACAGGACCTTCTTGGTGGTGGCTCCTTCTTTATGGAGTATCACCCCCTCAAAGTACGGTTGGCCCCCACCACTTCTGAAAGCTGGGTGTCAGCTTTGGCAGCCATATTAGCACTAGATGCTTCCACGCTGCCACATTCTTGAGCCTGGGGAAATGGGAGGGGAGGACTTTCTTGGAGCGTATGTGGTTAGACATAATATCATTTTTCTTTTAAGTCAAGGTCATGTTATTTCTGCACCTGGCTAAGGAGTGGTTGAGGGGACATCTCAACTTGGGACGGATGGTGATAGAGGCATGTGATGCAATGAAGGGTGCAGGGGGTGGATTTGTAATATTTTACTTATTGAAGGGAAACCCGAAACTTTCAGATTCAGGATTTCCCAGATGTCCCAGTTTAGTACTCTAATGAAAAGAATCTTTGAGAATATGTCTGGTTTGGAATTATTGGTTGGAGTTGAGTTCTGGAACCCTGACCCTGTTTTTGTCAGTGAGTCTGGGGACCATGAATGGAGATGGAAAGGATCAAAGTGGCTGGTTTCATTGTGTGGTTGCTACCATGGAGGATGGAGTGGATTTTGACATGGGTTTTTACCGTGTGGTAGATTTTTAAAACGTTGTAAGCCTCCCGGATTCTCCTACGTGTGAGGTGGATTGCTAAATGATCATTTATCATCATCATAAATGATTTGAGGTTGGCCTCTATTACAAAATGTTTTACGGCAGTCTGCATTGGATGGCGAAATCCCCAAGGACCTGAGCATTGAAGGTGGCCAGTAAGCCACTGAGAAAGTCTGTAGGATGGTCAAATCCTTCACATAACATAATCAGGAGACATTTTAGCATGGGCTAACCTAAGGGTAGTACAACCACTGGCCTTCCAGCCCTTAAGAGCTGGATGATAAGCTTCTAAAAATGACGATTTCAGGTTGAGTTTGGCTTATTCGTGTCAATTATTTTGCGGAGGGATGCTACTGTAACAACCTGACTGTTCCCAGTTAGTTAAATTTATCTGCTGGTTTCCTGTCATCTAAGAGTCTATAGATGTCAGCAGGCCTAGTATAGTATTTCTATACTGTCATCGAATCTTGCAGCCTAGGAAATTGCAGAGTAAACCCAGAGGAAGTGATTTCCAAGATGGCAAAACATTTTGATTTTTTTTTTAAAAAAATCAGCCCCATTTCTCAGGGGGGTTTCACAGATGCCTATCACACACTACAGAAATGAAAAGGAGCTAAGTAGCAAAACCCATGTAGAAATAACTAGAGACAGAGAGAAATTCAGCTTCCTGATGAGTAGAGATCTGGAATCTCTAGAGGTTGGGTTTTTTTTCTTTTCTTTCTGTTTTTTTCTTTTTCTCTTCTGACTTGGAAAATTCCACATCACAGCACAAGCAAATGTGTTCACGAGTTACAGACATCTGAAGTCAGACATTGCAGGTGTGCGGGGGGAGATCTCATTTAGAAGAAATGATGTTCTGAACACCGGGGTGGGCAGGTGGGAAATAAAGCTTACCATTTGAATTTTATTATCCAAACAAGCTGCCAGTTTTACACGGACAATCCCGTTCAAAGGACCCTCTCACCCGTATTTTTTCATTTAGCTAAGCAGGTTTATTAACCCAAATATCAGCAGCAGAAATATTACCTTGCCTGCTAATGATTCAATAATGGGTTGCAATGGGATAATATAACAGTAGAAAAGTCCATAACTTACTATTGCCTTCTTTTCTATCCCTGAAGGATTATGATTTTGCTTCCTCATTAGTGTGGAATAATACATTAGCTTTCTGCTGTTACATCACTTATCCAATCCAATTTTTAAAAAAAATAAAAAATTAAGAAATATTTTAGAGGGACACGGTGGCTCAGTGGCTAAGACACTGAGCTTGTCGATGAGAAGGGTCGGCAGTTCAGCGGTTCGAATCATAGCGCCCTGTAACGGAGTGAGCTCCCATAACTTGTCCCAGCTTCTGCCAACCTAGCTGTTCGAAAGCATGTAAAAATGCAAGTAGAAAAACAGGGACCACTTTGGTGGGAAGGTAACAACGTTCCATGCCCCTTCGAAGGTGTTTAGTTAGGGCTTGGCCTCTCATGACTGTGGGGATGCTGCAACAGTCGTAAGTGTGAAAAATGATCATAAGTCACTTTTTTCAGTGCCATTGTAACTTTGAATGGTCCCTCCACACAAGCAAAGTACCAGCAAAGGAGTGGAAAAAAACTCCAGAGAAGTTCCTGAGACAGGAAGTCTAGTCCTGCCAAGAATGTAATAAGGATTAATGGAGAGGCAGTTTCTGTAAGCAAGACCAGAATGTTTCCTTCCTGTCTTCTTTACAGGATTAGCCCAGTAATTTCTTCTAACAACCAGTTCTCCAAACTGCTTAGAATGTTAACAATCGGTTCTAGCGAATAGGTGCGAACTGGTAGAATCCCACCCCTGCCTCTGTCTCTATCTCTCTCTGCCAGCTCCATTCCCTCTTTCCCCTCGGACCTCTCAGGCTGCCTTGATGTGACTTCCACACCACTTCCTCGTCTGATTTAGTTGCTGGAAGGGCTGGCGGCCGACAGGCCACAGCACCAGAACAGAATTAAATTGAAGTGAATCGAATATTTCAATGGAAGAGAGTACCATTGCTAATATCAGCCTGCACTGAAGCTATTTCCCTGGTCCTTGGGAAGCAGGATGGAGAGGCACCAAAGATAAAAGAGAATATTATTGGATTGAACTGTTGGAACCTTGATGCCAGCCATCAACAGGAACATTGAGATCAGCTGCAGCTTTTCTCCCTGGTCACGTGATTTACCTTCGGCTGCTTGACAACTGACTCACAGTTATGATGGTTGCTATGTCCCTGCAATCATGTGATTTCCCCCCTTTTGTGACCTTTTGACAAGCACCATCAATGGGGAAGCCAGATTCACTTAACAACCGACTGACTAAGTTAAAAACTGCAATGATTCACTTAACAGTGGTGGCAAGAAAGGTCGGGAAATGGGGCAAAGCTCACTTAAACGTCTCGTTCAGCAACAGCAATTTTGGGTTCAACTGTGGTCATAGGTTGAGGACTACCTGTATTCATCACCATCACCCCCTTCCCAAGAACTTCTCGGCTCCAGTTCAGTCTACCTTAAAAAGGAAACTGACTTCTGCAAGTCCTGGACTTCGAAGCAAGGCACCCTTCAACAAAGGGGAGGGAGGTGAAATTATATCTGTACTCCACCCATCCCAGTATGGCCTTTTGTTTTATAGGTAGTGTGATGACACGGAGTGTAACACAAATGTAACAAAATCCAAAACATAAATAAATGTCCTTTAATGCCTCCAACTTGGCCCCACTGTTCAATAATTCTCAGTTGGAGATAAAACTTACTCAAAAATAGTCTTCAAAAGAAAGCAATACAGTCCGAACTTAATGAGCAGATAAAGGTGATATAAAAAACCAAAACAAACTACAATGAAGGAAATTCCACAATGGACTAGGATAAGTAATTACCAACTGAAAGGAGATAACAAGGCACAGTCTGTTTGGAAGGATGCCAACCAAGATAACTTCAGCCCAAAATAAAACATACTTTGCTTCTGGCAATGCTGTGTTTTAACCTTCTCTCTTATATACTATTCTCCCCAGCTGCAACCAATGAGGGGGATCATGGCCGCTTCTTCTCTCGTAAGCCAAGTTGTTTCCTTCTCCGTTCCTCCCTGTGTGTCCTAGGATGCAGAGGGGATGGCCCTGGTTCTTTCTCTGACTGCCCAGCCGGCCTCTGCCCTTCCCCAGCCTCCTCCACAACCTCCAGAGCCACACCTCCACTCCCTGTCAGCTGTTCCTCCTCTCCCTCAGAGTCCGACTCTACCAAGAGCATGACAGGTAGGTCCTTGACCTATGACCATCATTGACAACGATCATCATACATTGTGATGGTCGTACAGCAAGTCATCATGGGACCAACCTTATTTTACGACTTTCTTGCTGTAGTCATCAAGTGAATACATTAAGTCATTAAGCAAATGCCACAGTCATTAAACAAACCCAATGTTTACTTTGAACTGATTTTTTTTTAGAATAGAATAGAATAACAGAGTTGGAAGGGACCTTGGAGGTCTTCTAGTCCAACCCCCTGCCTAGGCAGGAAATCCTACACCACTCAGACAAATGGTTGTCCGAACTCTTTTGTCAGAAAATGGAAGCAAACATTTCCTGAAAAAGATTGTTAATCATGATCAAGTGACTGCAGGGGGACAGCATATGGTTGTAAATGCAGGCCAGTTGTTGAACGCATTCAAAACGTAGTCATGTGACCATGGGCAGGGCTGCCATTGGAACTTCGGAACCGGAAGTTCTTTTCAGGGGCAGGGTCTGTCCTAGCTTTGAATGGTTGCTAAGCGACCAGTCGAGAACTACCTGTACTTCTTATATTGCTTTTTCTCCTTTTTAGACAGAGTCTTGCATGAGTGAGTGGCCATAAAACCTGAAATTATTTATAAATAACAAAATAAATGAAGTGACCTCCTGTCTCATCTCACACATGGTATGTTTTTCTCTGCAGGTCTGAGTAGGGAACTGACTATTTTTAAGCCCAGCTCCATCCTGTTAGTTATTTAATTAATGGCTGATTCATCGCATCTCCTGGGCTCACAGCATAAGCTTATTGAATGGGACATAATAGATATTTTTGCTGAATGCCTGCATAGTCCAGTGTGTGATCTTTGTCGTTACACAGTGTCTGTCCCCAGGATAGGCGGCGTGTATTCTTTACTGTCACTAATCTACCCATTTTTACTCAGCCCCACCCTGGATGATTGTCCGATGATACAAATAGGGATTTAGATTTATATCCTGAATTGTTTATGCCTGCTGATATCACTGTGGGCTTTGTCTCCAATCCTTATTCATGGTTTGCTTTAAAGTATTTTCAGACTCTCAAGATTTCTGAGCTTTTTACTTGAATTGCATCCTTCTTCTTTCCTTTCCTTTCCTTTCAGTAATGAATATATATATGAA